AAATAAATAAATAAATAAATAAATAAATAAATAAATAAATAAATAAATATAAACAAACAAAAAATAAACAAACAAATAAAAAAAAATAAATAAATAAATAAATAAATAAATAAAAATCAATCAATCAATTTAATTTGATAAGTGGTACTTACTGAGTCAGTTGTAAAATTGTCCACCCCTGCAGGGCTGACACTGATGGTAACAATTCCAGGCGATTGAGGAGGGACTGAACACCTAATTAGTTCATGTGAAACCCAACTACCATATGCTACAGTAACTCCAAAACGACAGTGGTATAATCCATTATCTGATTCCATAAAAAAGACACCTCTGACCTGTACTGTGTTGCCTCCTTGTGCAGGACCTTTATGTGGCACTACTTCAACAACTGTTGGTATTCTTGGAAGGGTTGTTCGTGCTTTTGTGATTAATGTAGTTGGTATATTTATTGATAGTGTCGACATTGAGGAAGATACAAAGGGCAATGTGTATTGTGTTGTAACCTGAGGTGTGGGTGATGCAGATGTTGGCACATGAGGCGTAGTATGACCTGTTATATCCAGATGACTTCTGGTGGAACGGCTTGATAAGGTGAAAGTGGTGACAGTTTCAGATGTGCCATCATGGGAACTGGTTGTAGGTTGAGATATTGTTGGTGGTGGTGGAGTTGGCGTTGTAAATGGTGTAGTATGATGGGATGTTACATCATGGGTGGTGGAAATAACTGTTGTTGGCATGTGGCTAGTAGTATAAATCTTCAAGCTAACCTGAACTACAGTATATGACCCTTTAGGTGGAAGGCCTTTATCAGCTGCAATGACAGCAAAGACATGAGGAAATTGCGAGAGATCACCTGGTAGTAGTAATCTTGATAAAGATATGTTACCCGACTGTGAGTCAATCGCAAATGGTAGATTGCTTCCAGGGTCTATTATTGAATATTCAAGCATACCAGCGTCACCAACATCCTCATCATAAGCCTCAACTGATGTTATAAAATAACCTATTGGTATATCAGTCTCAATAACAACGCTATAGCGATCTTGGGAGAAGAGCGGCGTGTTGTCATTCCTCGGGCCAAATACAGCAGAATAGTACACAGTGGTATTTATTGTATAGTTTGAGTTATAATCAAATATATGCAACAATTCCTGGCTGTAGATATGTGTAGTGGTCCAGACATTGAACTCTAACAGTAAAACATCTGATTCTCCAAACACAGCATAGACAAGTGGAAAATCTGTTAATGGTATACGATTTTCGAGAGCAACTCTCACATATAACCACCCTTGATCGGTCACATTTACAGCCACTTCCGCAATTCGGTAATCACCGATACCATACATCTGTCCGATTTTTCCATCCAGAGTCAAGTTAACAGCCCTGACATCAAATACGTGGCCATCTTCACTGCTATAAACATGGTCAGGTAAATTTTGGGCATCAATCATATCACTAACGAGAAAATCAGTAATACCGTCATCAATTGGATGATTAATTCTCACAAGATGTAATAGTTCATGTATTTCAAGGACATCAATAATGGACAGCTGTGGGTCGCCTAGAGGGTTGATGTTTTCAAAAGTTGCAGAGAAATTAGAGAATGTACCTTGGAGAGAACTTGACAATAGCCATCTGGCAACTTTTGTACTATGTGGAGGAATGTCACCAAAGTCGATTGTCAATGATTTCGATACGTCCTCATTTTCAAGCTGTGCACCTATAATTTGAAAGGTAACGAGTAGCCCTTTATCATTTTCTATAATTTCTGGCTGCGCTGAAGTAATTTTCAACTCTCTTGCAATGCCATAGCCAACATTTGAGATTAGGATGGCGAGTGTAAACGGAACAATATTTTCAACAACATCTTCAGTCAGTGGGTCATCGCCTTGCACATATTTCTCATGAAAATAATGAACATGCAGTTGCGGATCTGGTTTGACTGTGATAGTATCTGCGAGTAATGGTACTGTGATCCTTGCATCTCCAACAGCATAAGAAAGACTGCCTCCTACATCGTACAATATGTCACTATCTGGGGCTGCAGTAGAATATGGAATAATCAACCATTCAGCTGATCCAGAGATTGATGCCGCTAATGTACCATTGCCATCAACAGATGAAATACCTATCAGTTCCGGGTCGCCTGTAAGGTTGACAAATGAAATAAGGACAACTAAAATTCAACGAAACTAAAAAAAGAAAGAAAATGAGCCATATTTCAAAAAGTACTAATATACTAATATTTTACGGAACGTACTGAAAGCAAAGTGTTCTTTCATTTCTTCAGAAAAGGGGTCTCCATTGCGCCATATGCGTATCACTACTTTTATGCCAGTCAGTGAACCTGATTCCCCATTTTCTACTTCAAGCCTTGCATTGAAGGCCTCGCGTGTTAGAACCAATTCCTGAACTATTCGCACGCGGACTGTTGCACATATACTTTCTTTGCCGGAGCCCTGAAGATAAAAAAGAATGTAAAATGAGTACAACATTTATTAGCTAATAAGCATCTTAACCATAAAGCTTAGATGAAAACCGGGTGTTAATATGTTTATCGACAAATACATGAAACATAAAAATATTATATAATGTAATCACAGGGTATGATTCTCGTACTATAAAACACTGACAAGTTTCTTACCCCTGAATTTTGGGCGTCAACATATGTTTCCAATGCTGAATTGTACTGATCGAACATATCTGCATATCCTTCCTATTTAAACGAAATAAAACATCATAATAATATCCGTTCAAGTATACATATATATATATATATATAGAAACAGTGCAAACTATATTACTGAATTCAAATTACCTGTCTAGAAACTTCCAAATCATCTCTGAATTGCATGCCCAAGGAATGCACATTGGTATACGAAATTATATTCATGTTTTCGCTATCTGGTTCCAATATACCACTGTCCCATGATACCACAGTGTTATTCCAGCGATTCAAAAAACTGCCAACCAATTCTCTATTATTATTTTCAAGCGTCACAGAAGATGTGATGTTAACATATTCATCGATTGTCAACAGCTGACCACCTAGACTGTCGTCAGACACCAGTAACTTGAATTGTGGGTACCAAGACACATCCGTCATATTTAACCTATGATAAGAAGATGATTTTTTGTATGAAGTAAAATTCTATAAATGTCGTATTTCTTTACATTTGTTATATTTAGCATATACTATTTTGGGACAGTAGGACAGTAGACGTTGTTCGAACCCTTTAGAACATATTATTGCAATACTATTAAGTTATTATGGGTGTATAACTCACATTTCATCACTTCCAAGAACTTCATTTGCGAATAATTGATAATGCTCTATTACTCTACTCTGGTCTATTAAATTCTGGGAGAATCCCACGTCGATTTCACGTTTTCTTCTGGAATCACCACCACAATTAATTATAGTCTCACTGACACATCTACAATGAAACACATGGGAATAACGTGGAAATACCCGCACAATAACAAAACGAGAATCATCTAGTCAGAGTGTCTGTCAATGTCTTATATAGAGTGGATGGTAGACATAATGGAATAAATTGAGATACTGTTGAATAACATGTTGCATACATGTAACAAGCATTAGCTATTTATACTGAAAAATACGTATTACGTCATGTACATAAATGAAACATGTTTGACTCACCTGATAACTTGCCACACCAATGATATGGTCCCTCCTATACATGCAATCGCAGCATCAAGCAGTCCGAGGAGAGATGGACTTAAGCCAAAATCTATGATACTCAGTGGGCAAGTTATGATTCTTTCGGCAAATCCCATGATGCAGTAGTTTACAAACGATTCTATGCAATTACAGTTTATTGGAGTAACCGGGTTATACACGACTGGACTCACATGAGTAGATGGGGGACCAATGCCTCCACATCCAGTGCAACTGATCTGCGATGGGCCTCGATTGTTCGGCGAACCTTTAAGCACAAAAAAAAAGATAAAAGTAATAAAAATCAAACAATTTGCTAGTATTAGGGTCATTATAGGCAGGTACTGCAAGCTTTATGTTAGGTTTGCTGAGACTTGAAATGATTTTAGGTGTAACTCACTTGGGGTGGGCGTCGATGTAAAACAACTTAGCACTGTATGTATGAAATGAGCAACAACACTAACGGTGCGTGGCACACCACACATAACAAAGTAATCCAGTGGAGCAACATAACAAGACGAAGAATCACGCTTTCGACGAGAGGTTTTTAAACGCACATCAACTGGTATTACAATACTGGAATTCGCCGCAAGATCTCCAAGATCATCAACCAACTGAAAGTGAACACATTTAGAAAATAAAGTTTATAAGGAATGCACAATAAACAATCACGTTTTAAGTTCGAAAGTTACGTTATTTGTGCTGAAAATTAGACTTACTTTTATAAACTCCAAAGTTGGGTGACCCGTGGGAAGCGTGAATGTCACTCCTTCTGCTGCTATGAGACCATGGTTTGTCACAATGAAGTCTATTTTGTCCTGTCTGCCTTCTTCTAATGGTAGAAGATCAATATTGGATGGTTCTATTGTCACTACTGGCATTGGTATCTGAAAATATATATGTTTGGTCTTAATATATATTCTTGGCACAAGTTGTATGTAAGTACGACACATCATATGTCCAAGTAGTTGTAGATTACCTTTGTATATGTTGAAATGACAACAAGCGAATATATAATGTGGACGTTACAATCCACAATCTGACATACGTATGTAAAACATATGAATTACTTCATCGTGGCTGTTGTTTTTATAAATTTGAAAAGGTGAAAGTAAGTTAATATTCCTACCTCTGCTTCGAAAGTGGATTCAAGGGTAACGACATAGGAATCCTGAAACGTTGTTGGGGACACAGTCCAAGTATAGCTTACTGCCACTCGAAATAGGAATATAGTAAGCTCAGGGGTGGATGACGAGGCTAGAATGACGGCAGAATAGCTGGAATGTCCGGCTGCTGAAGCAAATACCGTGTAGTACGCTTCATGTATGTCGTAGAATGTTACAGTTCCTACAGACGATTAATCGGATATTAAACATAATATCAGTATTAGGCATGAAGCATGTACTAATCTTACAGTTGGGTGTATATCATCATGTGCATCATCATTGTACAGTTTCAAGTTTAATGCTTTGCTTGAAATGTGCATTTGGGAGACAGTAATACGTTGAATAATATTGGTATCAATTTAGTTGTGCAGTGTATCGCAATATATCACTGCTATTGACAGTTATTTAAGCAATAACC